TTAATCGGTATTAACGTTTCCGTCGAAGAGTAGTACTTTGCCAGCAGCATGGTTTCGTTTCGTCATATCCGAAATGGTTTCTCGAATTAGGTTACACAAGTTACACGCCCAAGTAACACACAAGTTATACGAACTTTTCATTAATTTATAAAAGTTATATAGTACTTATCCTTAACTGAGAACACTGAGATTTTCTAGTGTCTAAAACAATCATTTCTATCATACCGATTTCTATCACTATCATACGTAGTTTTTTTTATTATGTAAAAATTTGTTTAAGGAGCAGGCGATTCACATGATGTTAAGTGATTACCGCAGCCCATGACATTTAAAACACCTGACTATTTACAGATACTTTGGCAACATTAACTCGTATCTAAGTCACCATTATCGTGTCGCGTTAAGTAAGATACCCTCATTAAACAAACAAAAAGGTTGTTTCGAAGACTTCAAACCGTGCCGAGGAAAACAAAATATGAACTCGTACCTCCCAACATACGTTGAATCCGCGCGTTACGTAAAAGGGGACGCGGTGCGGACGGATCGCGTTCCGTTTCACGCAAGCGATCGCCCGAAATACGCAATGGCGCGTATCTGCGGCCGACAGGGACGTTACCCGCCCGGCGTGATGCAAAAGTACAGTCGCGGAGAAACGCGTTGAATGCTGCCCGTCCACTTGCGTGAACGCATTTTGCAATTAACTGTACAGTCGCGAAGAGGTGCGTTCAATCTCACCCGCTCGCTTGCATAAACGCATGTTGCAAGTAATTGTACAGTCGCGAATAGATGCGTTTAATCTTACGTAATCGCTTGCATAAACGAACGTTGCATGCAACTGTACAGTCGCGAAGGGGTGCATTTTATCGTACCCACTTGCTAGCAGTAGGTGCATATTGCAAGTGGCTGTAGAGTCACGAAGAGATGCGTATAATCTTACACATTCGCTTGCATAAACGCACGTTGCATGCAACGGTACAGTCGCAAAGGGGTACATTTTATCGTACCCACTCGCTAGCAATAGGTGCATATTGCAAGTGATTGTACAGTTATGAAGAGCGTTGGACGTTCTCCACTCGTTTATGTGCACAGTCGTGATGCGACGTCTTGGATGTTACCTACGCATATGAATGTTATTAATCACTGAACAATCTAAAAAATGCATTTGATGGTATCCACCCATTTGTCTGAAGGTTGGTCACTTATAACAAACAATATGGTTCGAGGTCGTTTATTCAATCATTTTTTGTGGGAGGGTGGCAAGCGTGGGGGTATGGCGGTTCACCTCACGTTTAGTGATAACCGCCGCTCATAGACTTTAGCAACACCATTAGGGTTGCCGATGACTTTCCATCTTTTAATAAAGTGAGCTCCGGCTGCCTCTCACCAGACCAAACGCAGAAGTATACCACCTCCACTTCACTCTGGTCTTCTGTGAGGTCGCGGTACTTCACCAGGCGGACCTTCCGTTCATGAAATAGCGAAGGCAAACACTCCTCTGACTGACTCAACGGACCGTCAAAACAAACCTCTTTCGCTTTCGCCACACAACGACTTTCCAACCGCAGCTAGTTCAGACTCACTACATTAATCTAATTAACCTCAAAATTCCGCGCTATACTTGAGTACCCTGAGTTCAAAGCCTATTAGGGCAATTACAAATCGGTGTAAAGAAAAAATCAAGAAGTAATAATGATTAGGACATTAAAAATATATATTAGTATTTGTGAGAAATCCGAAAATTCGTGGTGAGCTTTGATCAATTCTCTTGTACCCTGTTCAAAGTAGATGTTCTTTTGCCGAGTAGTGGACAAAATATAGTTATAAAATTGTCACTGAACGACTCAACGTATAACCTAGTATATGGTAACGAGCCATCGGGCTTGGCGATTTAAAAGAGTAACGATAAGCATGTTCATAAGTTATTTATGTAAAGCATCTGCGATATATTACAGAGCGGTGTAATCCGACCAATTTCAGTTGGTATTCCACGTTCGCTTGAAACGCAAACGGAGATCCGCGCGTTAGAAAACTTCGACGCGACTCGTGCAGCCATCCGGCGAATGCGCGGCGCTTTCGTGACTAATATCGTTTCGCGTTTGCGTAAACGCAGTCACTGTAGGTTATTGACTGCCGTTTGACGCGTAACGTTTAGAACGCAACCGAGAGAAGTGAGCGTCGTGAGCATCCAGTTCGTCAAACAAACTAGTGTTCACAAAATATAATAAAATTGGCTATTTTTAGGGTTCCGTACCGTAAAAGGGGAACGGGGTGTGGAGAAAACGAAATCACGATTTCTGCCGCCGAACACAATGGTTTAGCAACTGCCTCACCTAGTCACTTTGGTGCCTTGATTCCTGCACTCGTAAATTAAGTTATTATTATAGCCGTGTATTCATTGAAATAATATCGTTTTAAAAAATCGCAAACGTACTCAGTCCTGGTATGTCAACGCCCTATCATTTCTCTGCGGGTTCTTGAGGAAAAACTTTAGTAGCCCAGCTACCAGAGTCATAAGCGGCAAGCGGAATTGATGATACAAAATGATTGATACAAAATGCCCAAAGAACGGTTAGTGAAAAAACGGCAAGGTTATGTAACTAATGAATATTGAATTTGATATCTGATGTAAAGTTAATATACTGCATATGGCAATTATACCACACTATGTACATTCGTTTTTAAAACTGTAATAAATAGGAAAACTTTCCAAAAAATCAAAAATTCTTTTACCCATATCTAATAGTTTAAAAGTAAATAGCTGCTAATTGGCACTTATAATGACTAGATTATGAATGCGTGTTTCGCGCGATATACATATACGGAACCATTTGTGGATACACGCCGCAACAGAGTAATGGAATTTAACATTTGAATTATTAATAACTTCTACCCCGTATTGCAGATAAGGTAATGTTAGGTCCACGCAAGTCTTCTCTGTTGCACGAATGGACAGGAAGTACCACGACCTCTAAGAAGACCACTTCCACTATAGATCCCCGCTTCCGCTTAAGACTTGTTCACTGAACCGCTCTCCAAAGTCGTCGCGCGTGAAAAGCATTTAGCACGCCCCTTAGTAATTACATCCGAGTTTCTGTCGGAACCAACAGCACTGGTCAGGTAACTGTCAGGTTAATTATAAAGTACCAACATTTTTTTTAATCGGTACATGAAATCTACGCTCTTAATGTCGCGAAACATGCTCTATCATAAAGGCAAAAGTCTGGCAGCGTTGGTTTAATCTTTAGTTTAGTTCTACAGTAAAATTTTTAAATATACGCAGGACGACATAATGTTACTACGTATTATTTTTACTAGAAATATTTACTAGGTACTCGTATAATAAGTTCAGTTTACGTTCAGTTAGTTTGTTGAGTTTCTGTTTTCCATGTTGTAATTTGGCTTTGTATAAAATGCTTATACACACAATATGTTGGTCGTTATTATCAAGTTATATTTTGTATACACTGTCCATAAATTAAGATATTTATTAAGTCCCAAAAGTGACATTAGTAAGACTTGTTGCCTTCGAATAAAAATTACATTTCCGTCTTCTCCGCTGTGATAGCTCAGTGTCCGGGCGCTCGCCTTTAATTTAATATACTCGAGCAACCTGAGTTCGATCCCCGCTGCGGGCACCAATGAAATTGTTAATTTTAAGTGCTGACTTATCACGTGCCCAGCGGTGAAGGTAAACATCATGAGGAAACCTGAATAATTTCGAAATAATAACAAAGAAATATTAGGGTCGCTTGGTGGACTGTGCCCAATATCCTCTGTACTACCCACCAGTGGAACAATATGACGTATAGGCTGTTACTTTTCTTTTTTCCGACTTCTCAGTCACTATGCAATCATCGATACGTCCTCTTTAACTTTAGACCTTATTAAAACAAACATCATCATCTAGAATTCAAACGCTAGAACTAAACATCAATCAAACTATTTTAATGATTTCATCCCGTTTAATTTTTTTACCGATTTCTAACACTTTACATTATCTGTGAATCGAAGCCTCACACACTGACACTGCGAGACATTTGACACGTGTGTATATTGACCAGCATATTGTCAGCACACTGCAGTTCTAATGACAGCTATTCACCTACGCATTGATTTATCCGGTGACACCGCAGTGAAAGCGTCTCCGAGTTTGGGAGAGCGTTTTCACTTCGAGAGGAAAAGCTGCGGTTATCATGGCGGGTACAATGTTATTAGTTTTGCAACGATGCTGGAAATATAATGGACATTTGTATCTAACATCGTCATTTTCAATCACGGTCACTTGAATACATTAAAACTTTCAGTTGTCGCATTTTTATATTTAGTCATATAATCTTGTCAGCGGACTTTAAAGATTGTTCTCGAATGTGTGAAATAGAAAAAATTAGTAATAAAAGAGACAAAACTTGAATATTCATTTTTTTTTAATTATTTGCGGGAATATGCACATTTGCAGTGCAGGATCGACAAACTGGATCTCTAGATAAAGCCATCTATTAAAAGAGTATTTTAAAAAGTAATGTTGATGCCAGAAACGTTTATACTTGCCAAACACAGCCATTTCGATCGTGAATCCAGTTAGTACATGAATAATCCCAACTGAATTTATTTATGTGCTGTTTGTCGCGGATCTTGTGCCTCGTGTTAATGGTCACGCTGACTAAACAATAAGGGTAGGCTTACATATGTCAGACACGGCATAATCATGTAAGACGTTAAGCAAACGGTTCCACGGAGTTGTTTCGTACTAAGTTTACGTAGTAAATCCATGATTATTTACAACCGTATTTTGAAATGCAACGAATGATATTAGGTTATTTTTGTTAGGGATATGACACAAGAGTGTGTAGGCCGGATGAATTATCTCTTAAGCAGAAAAACAAACCAAAACTTTAAATTATGTTTTCAATAAAAGCAATGAAAAGGTTTAAAATAACATTTATTATAACTTTTTACTATTCAATGTTCCTAGCTCTTACTATTGTGTTTTTCGATTTCAGATGACGCGGCACACCGTGCACGGTTTTGCGTGCCTTCTGCTTCTCGTCGCCGTGACATGGGGAGAAAGGGAGCAGACTAGATGGTCACGCCAAATTAGTACTTACACCGCAGACATTAGCGACTGGGTTCCCTTACCAGGACCCGTAGAAAGAGACCAACCCCAGGGTAAAAGGCAACCGGTGGCCGAACCTAGAATACTCAGTGAGCCTTTCCCCAGTTTCACTAGACCAACCGCATTCACCCAAGGTGGAGGATTCAACCAAGAACCGTTTCCATCGAGAACGTTCTACAATACACCGGCGAATCGGCAACTATATCTACAATCCTTACCTTCAGTGCCCTCGGCTCCGCAAAATTTCCTAACGGAACAAGGGTTCGGACAAAGCATTCGTTTCGGATTGTCACAACCAAACTTTCCATTAAACCAAGGATTTGTTGCTCCCCAGCTGAGTTTCGATACAGTTCCGCAGACGAAGCCAATCAAATTTGAAAATGTTCAGAAAACAAGCCAATCGCAAAAGCCCCAAGTGCAGACTTTTATCACTCAAGCCCCTAAATTTAAGCCAGACTTGCCTAAATTCTACGACGGATATCGTATACAGAATGTTAGCAACGATTTTAATACTAAGAGACCTCAGTCGCTACAAAAGCTCAAATATGATGGCGTGAAAACGGAAACACTGGCGCAAAATAAGCCTCAAGTCGAAAGAGAAGAAGTACAACTTTTGTATGTGCCTCTGGAATCTTTAAATTCAGGCCAATTTAACTTTAGAAATCCTGTAGCTTCTCCTCATATTATTAACTCTGATCTGTATAATCAAATCCAAAGACAAGTTCCACTTAAAACGCCCATTATCAATAATCCCTCTACAGATTTCCAAAAAGCAACAACAAAGGCTGTGGAAAACTTTAACCCAAGACAGGAATTTTCCTCCAACTTGAATACACAAATTCGCAACTTCGACCAAGTACCTAAATTCACGACATTAGCATCACCATTCCCGACGATCCCACCATCGACGTCTAAACCAAAGAAACTCAAGCCTCACCAACCTCCTTTAGCGATATTTTTAACCCAGGACGAGAAAAAGGATAAACAAGTAAGAGTTGGAGACGTTCTGTACTCTTTGAAAAATGCAAACACCATTGCCGTGCTAGACGCTGTCAACCCTCAAAGTGCACCCAAAGTATTCATCGGTCCCTCATCACTCTCGCCACCAGAGAAATATGTTAAATTTGAATTGCCCTACTTATCAAACATTGAAAATAGTGAAAAGAAACTTCGGCAATTGCCATTTTTCGTAGCCCCATTGAGCTACAATACACCACAAGGATTTGCTAAAATTCCCTTCCCGTCACCGCATGTAGGATCTGTAGTTATTAATTCTCAAATTAGTAAAGATTCCCAACCAACTACGACGGTACCAAATATACCGCCTAGCTTTTACACGTATAATCAGTCCCCACCGAAGCAAGAACAGAGTTTAGAATTTCAGAATCCAAGAATAAATTACTATACCACTGCTTCGCCTAAAACTAAGACACCAACAGGATATGAACCTAATTATTACTCTTTCGAACAACAGGCAGTCAATCCACTGACGTCACCAGAAAAACCAAATACTGGAAGTAAACCAACGTCTTACTTCTTGAGCAATATCGGAAATCAATATAATCCATCTGACTACGTAAATTTCCCATCCGAACCAAACTACCAGACAACCGAGGGCGTTCAAACATATTCTATTGCTCCCACAGCACGTACGGTTTCTACGCAAAAACCAACAACAACCACGACCACACCATCCACACCGACTACAACGACGACGACCACTATAAAACCATCAACATACCCAAGTCAATTATTAGAAACACATAACCCATATTCCATAAATCAAGCATTCCATTTTAGTACTCCGATAGATTATCAAAACTTTTTCGACGAATACAAGGAAAATTATGCTGCTCCTGGACAGAATTCCTCACCACAACAGGCAACTGAAACGAACATCTCAACAACGAGCCAAGTATCTGTTCCTCAAGAAAGAGAGAAAACGCAAATGAAATATTCACAAGGGTCACCAAATTATTTACAGGGCTATACGCCTGAAATACATTACGAATCGGAAGTGCAAAATTCAAGATTTGGTATTTATAGTACCAATCAAGAGCCAAATGAAAGTACAGAGAGATACATGCAAACTAATAACCCTGTCGTTTATAACAAAAGCTATGAACCAACTAGCAACCTAACTCCAGTAGTTCAGAATGAGAACTTCGAATCTAATAACACCTATTCACCAATTATACAAAACGAGAACATCGAACCCAGTAGCCAACTTACTCCACCCAGAAATGAGCCAGAGCGTGCTGAAACTAAACCTGTTTTGCCACAAAGTAACGATGAAATACTAAATAACACACCATTTACATCATACGATAATCATATTCCTGTCACAGGACCTACGTATGACTATAACAAGTATGAAACTACCTTCAACAATTATGAACATGAACAAACGCCTCAAAGTACTTCCTCTACCACGACCACTACGAGAAGAACACTACTAAGAACAAGGGGACGCCCGCGATACCCAACATCCAAACCTGATACTGGAGAGTATACATCAAAAGCTACTATTACTAGAAGACCGCTCAGAGAGAGAAGGCCCCTAGCAAATAGACCCCGATATGAACCGAATAAAATAACAACAGAAAAACAAGTTTTAACAGAAAAACCATCACGGTCAACTACCGATTCAGTGGAAACTACAACAAAATATAAAAGGACAAGAACACGAGGACGTGTTCACTATAAACCATCTGAATCCGACGATATATACGAAAAACGATTAAAAGCACATAGCAGCAAGGAAAACGACCTAGCTTATCAAAGAGATGTTCTTCATCAAAACTATCCCGTAACGCTAATGGAGCGACTGAGTACAGTTGACATAGAACCAATAACTGAACCGACTGTGAAAGTTTCAGCTACCAGTGTCCAACGTTCAGAAGATACTGAAAACGCTTACAGCTACGAAAAAGTATCTGTGACCGAACACACTGCAATTACTGAAAATAAGGATGATCAACACGAGTACACAGATGCGTTAACTAAAGATGTACCCAATCCAACGTCAACTCATAATGATGAATATAGTTATCAATCTAAAACCAGTAGTGCTCTTGTAGGCACTTATCCAACATACGATGAGGCAAAGGGGGAAGATATTTATAACCAGCAAACAACGCCTTTGCATGCAACTGAAATATTAGAAGCAACTACTCAGAGTGTGGATGAAAGTGAACAAAGTATTTCGGTAACTAATAGACCCAACAACCAATATGACGAAGAGATAACAACAAAAGACACTGAACATGGTAATAATGAAGCAAATAATGAAGAATCTACAGAGCAGCAAGAAAATGTCGTACAAACTACTCCATCTTACAATAGAGTACGTGTACGACCTGGAGTCATTAGACAATATCATCCAGCGTCAACAGATTCAAGTAGAGTTAGAGCTGATAGACGAAGACCAGCTCAAGGAATCACATATAGACCAGCTTACGATAGACGTAGAACTACAATGCGAATTGACGAAATAGAAGCTGATTTAAAAACGAAACAAGTACACTCACGCCCCGAGTTCCAAGATTATAAGCATCCTGTTTATAAACCAGAACCAACGACGGAATCTACAGAAACATCTTCACCGATACAAGAAACGAGTACAAGACGCGGAAGTTACCGCCGAAGACGTCCCACATACACAGTATCGTCTACTGAAACACCGACGAATAAAAGGACTTATGAAATAAAAAATCGATTCCGAGGACGTCGTCCTACAGAAAAACCAGAAGTTCAAACAGAACAGACATCAACAACGACTGTTAGAGATACACCTGTTGTCAAATACAACGATAGGCCACGATTATCTGAAAGATTTAATCAAAGTCCTGAACCGGAAGAGACAGAAACGGGAGACCAAGACCCTAATTATTCAATTCAAAGACCGAGCTACGCTACGCTTGACGCCAATCGATGGTCTCCTAAAATTTCGCCAGAGTATTTTAAACCATACAATCCAAATGATATTGCAGATGAATCTAAAGCACTCAATGAAGACCATCAAACAGATAATGGATCAGAGCTCGATATAATTACAGCTAAAAATGAATACGATAATATTCTCATCTCTGTCACGCCAGCGACCAACAATAGAGCAAATAAAAAAATTCCGGACATCCCACCAACGCTAGAAGCGTTAGTAGAGCAAAGCAGAATTACAAAAAGTGAAAGTGGTGATACAATGTCAACATTTGAAAGCATGCTTGAAGAAGTAATGAAAAGTTTAGAAGAGCAAGATGAAGATGAATACACGAAAAATGTCATGAAACACAAAGGTGGAGAAATTGGTGAAATTCCACCAGAAAAAATAATAACATCTGAAGAAAACTTTTATTCGAAGTCCACCACACCGCTCCAAGAAATTACTACAACGGCACCTTATGAGAAATTTGAAGACATAACAGAGGTATAATCATTATATTTTAATGTCATTTTTTGATTTTTTAATTTTGCCTTTTAATTCTTAATTTCATTTTCGTTTTTTTATGTGAGAAGGCAAACGAACTGTTAACCTGATTTTAAGTGATAGCCGTCGCCCATTGACATTAGAAACAGCCATATAGTTGCAGATGCGTTCCCATCTAATAAAGGGTTCTCTATAAGTGGGGTCCGGCAACCGCACTCCCTAGACGAAATGCAGAAGTATAACACTTCCCCCGACGTTCCTACCCATTCATGCAACAGCGGAGACTGTAGTGTGGCCCTACCACAGCGAACCTACATTCAATGGTCTCAGGTTTATCTAATATAATATTATAAATTTTGCAGAAAGAAATAAACCGAAAAACACGTCGTCGAGGATTTTGGAAAAAGGTCAAAGTGCGCCCTGCAACAGAGTCTATTGAAGTAGCCGAATCTCAATACTATCCCAATACAGTTAACAGACTAGGGCAATCTGTACAGGTATCAAAGACTAGTAATGACAAGTCAAACATAGTAGTCACGACATACAAACCTACTTATCAATTTATTAAAGAAGTCTTTGAAAAAGACAATGACGAAATGGAAATAGCACCACATATAGACATTCCGAAAATTACAACAGTGAAATTCAATGATCATAAAACAATAAAGCACACAGAAAGTCGTCCAAAAACTACTATCCCTTATGCTTCAAAGGAAACTTCTACAGAAAATTTTAACCCTGGAGAGATGGATCTAGGTACTGGGTCACCTGACCCTACATTTATTAGTGATACATACATCAGCACAGTAACTGAACCAATTACAAGTCAAACACAGCTTTTAGCAGCAGACAGATCAGATGGTTTTAGCCTTATGGATTACTTCTTTGGAGTAACATCGCCTGATAACTACACTGATCATGGGACAAAAAATGAAACTAAAGTAGATCACACCTTGGCACTCAAAGCCACTGAAAATGGTGACGAGATTCAAATTACAACAGAACAGGCTAAATTAAAAGCCACAACAGAATCAACATACATTCCTGAAGAAATAACAACAAGCAAAGATGAAAGTATCAGGGATGAGGCTATCAAAAAAGAACATACAGTTGAAGAAATCAGTGATCCTCTACCAACACGCATAGAAACATCATCAGTGTCTTCCTTTATGGATTCATTAAAAGTAGTGAGCACATCAATGTCAACAGAAATTTCACATGAAACAGAAATATGTTTTAGAGGTAAATGTATAAAAACCAATAAGTCTCTTGCATAAAGTGATAAACACATGTAATGGTGCTAAGACTGTGTTCAAAACTTATAGTGGAATAATATAAATAGGAAATAAAAAATTATGTCCCCATAAAGATTCATTTGTTAGGTTCTAATACCACATCTGCAATGATTTTTATTTTTATTTTATTTATTAAGTACGTACAAAATATCTGTATGTACTTTATTAGTTACTTTGGTGAAATTTTGTAAATTGCACACACACTCTTTACTTGATTTCACCTTTGGTACCTATTGTTAAAATAGGAAACCCCTAATTTTAGGTAATAAGGTTAGTGGCCACATAATGTGAATATAAATAATGTAATATATCTTATATGCCTTTTAATCATAATTTCTAAAAATATGAAGTAGAAAGTAAGTTTTTTACCTTTTGTAACATAATGACTGATGATACTAGATATATATCTATATTTTTATGAGTGTTTAATATGAAAAAATTCATAATTATTTTTATGTTTAAACCTAATTGAATTTATATCTTCTGCACTATTGAGATGTAACTATGAGATATTTAAGACACTACATTATTACTATTAATTGTATAAATTCTACTGCCTTCTTCATTGGATTTGTGTATGTCCCATTATTGAAGAATTATTTATAATAAAACATAAATATAATGTAATGTGTTTTAATTAACCTTTCCAGAAAAACTTTAAATTGAGATATTTTGTTTTTTCTTTACATATCTTCATTGAGGATAAGATTATCCTCCATTAATAGAATAAGTGTAGTCTGTTGGAGGCTTATGTTGCTAATGTATCTTGTATCTTGTATTCTGACACAGAACCGGTGGGCTAGCCAGAACCCACGGGTTTGGGAAAAATTGCTAATGTATGCTATGCTTATGTTGTATGAGCAGTCTCAAACAGGCTGAAATGATGATGATGAATAGAATAATTAATTTACATTATGTACACTTAGACTAACATAAAATCCTGATGAAAATATGTAAGGTAGTTGCAGGATCTAGTTGTCCCATGTGGAAATTGATCCTTCAATCAACTTAGGCAAACACAACAAGGTGTTAGATATAGGTGGTGAATGATCATACACAAGGAATCATCATATTAAATTAGTACTAAAGTTCACTTTTTTTATGGCTCCATATGCAAAGGGTAAAATGGGACCCTATTACTAAGACTCCGCTGTCTGTCTGACTGTTTATACATCTGTCCTCAGGCTGTATCTCATGAACCGTGATAGTTAGACACTTGAAATTTTCACATTCTTAAATGGGGCTCACATCCAACAAACATTTTATATTTTTTGCTTGTATGAGAAAAATTTTATGGTCAAATTGTTGTATTTTTGTTTAAATCGGAAAGACTATATTAAAACATAGCATACTTAATGTTTCTCATAATTTGAGGGGATAAGGTTATAAAAAATAAAATAACTTACACTCTATGTGATAAAAATCTCAAATCTTCTATGTAATAAATATTTTAGATTAATACTAATATGTCCTTAAATTAATATACTTTTAAACATAAATTGAATACATAATAAGTTTCAATTAGTCAACAATTTCACAGTCATCATCATCAACAAAACCACCATTTAAAGCATCACTTAAAATGTCATTTTTATTCTTCTTAAGTTCACTGTTAATAAATCTTCGCTTTTCTTCTTTACATTTTTGCTGTGTGGATTTTTCTACTGATGGACGTTCCACTAGCCCTTTTGTAAAAGTATAAATTACTGTAGTGAAATCTTCTTCAATGAATGCAAGGTTTATTGTAGGTCCAGTTTCAACTGTACAAAGATTTTCTTGCATTTTATTGATATAGTCAATACTTATGTCAAAACTTGTGGGGATTGGAACATAAATATTTATTTTGTCATTTTTACTTGGTCTAGCAACAACATACAGAGTGTCAACATCTCTATTGTAACAATATTCAGTATCATACATGAGTTTTTCATCTATCAAGTGAATATATAATTGAAATGCTAACGTTACCTTTTTGTCAGACATACAGCCAAGTGCTTTCATATCTTCTTTAATCTTTGATTCAATTTCCATCATATAATATTAGCGGTAATTTTGTGTGTACAATAACTCTTTGTTTAACTTAGCTTTAAAAAATTCAGTGTACTTTACTTAACATTACTTAATTTAGTTTCTAACATTAATGTACAAAGTACCTTTTTCTTAATACGTTTTGAAGGAAAAAATATCTTTTTTGTTATCAAACAGTAGTCACTAACAGATTCAGATACCACAAAATTACTCTTTGGTCACTAATCAGTAGTACTTTATTACAGTAACAGTTTTTATTACAACATGTCAAAATTCACATTCATTGAATTCATTGTCAATGTCAATTGTCAATATAATTATATGCTCCTATTCATTTCTACGGTGTTCCGATACCAATGTCCGATGCAAGTAAATACGAGTAATTACTCCATACTTTTGTTTGATACCAAGTAATTTTAAGCCAATCCCAGACAGATTATGGGAAAATGTTTATAGAAATATTTTCGAAAATATTTGTTAAACGTTCGAACAAAATAAATCTATGAGCTCCTACACTTGCATAGATAAGACATACAGCGTGTCGTTACCATCGCGGCAATAAATGAACACACGTCTAACGCTACTTATCAATAATCATAAAAAAATATTAACATTAAGCAAAATCCATAATTAAAAAAAAATATTTTTCAAACAAACTAATTAAGTAAAAAAGAAACAAAATTTGTAACATCCTATACAACTCGCGCCACAGCGTCGTATTACAAGCCTCTCCTTCTAACAGTATGTTTTGTCTCTTTTAAATTCATTCAACCCATTCATATGCTTTGTGACCTTTACAAATGAACTTTACGTTACGCTTTTATAGGTAAGGATATTCTAAAATTCTTTATTTTGAAAAATTTAATAACCCTGTAAATATTGATTTTTAAAGAATTTAAATGTTTAATACAACTTTAAAAAGTTATCCCCTATATGTGTGTTCATTTATTGTCGCGATGGTAACGACACGCTGTATATGCATATTGAAACTGTACACTTGTTTGTTTCGCTTCACATGGATAATTATGTCCAAAGACGGTGGAAACAATGAACGACTGGGTCGAAGTAGTAGCATTATATTATTTATGTTCTTTTAATTATTTAATATAACTTATTATTTAGCTTTGGACGTCCTAAGCCCCTGGGTCCCATCAGCATTTTAGATATATATGGATATATAATGGTCTAAAGAATGTCTTTTTAGAGGAAATTTAATTTTGAACAGCCGTTTCAAGTTAGTATTAGCACTACGGTCATTATGATCGTGTAATCGTGACATAGTGGTGATAGTAATAGTAAATTTTTCCGTTTTAGTTATAATTACTCTGTAGCAAAACTAGAACTTTATGGTCATCTAACGTCTTCGGTATTCGGTTGCTCCATGAACTGAAAGTCGCGCCAATTTATTAGTCATTCTAACTAATACTTTAAATAGAGAAAAACTAAATATTAAAAAATATTACAAATTTCTATGGCGATTTACTTGGTTTTATTATCACCGTAACTGCTCTGATATTAACTATGAAATTATTCTGTAAACCCTACTGTAAAAGAAATAAATGGTGGGTAAGTTAAAACTGTATATCGTTAGTTTAAAAGAAATAAAATCACAATATAAATTTGCTTATCAAATAAAATTAGTATTTAACTAGCTTTATGTATTTTGTCAAATAAACATGATTCAAATAGAAATCAAGCTGTAATTTCATTTAAAGTATATTATATTAAAATTATTTGAAATATGAACTTTATTATCTTTTTAAATGAGCTAAAAGCGACATCTGGATATACATGTTAATGACGGGACAAGAGTACAACGTAATGGCCAAAGCGTCTTTGTAACAGATGGCGCTGTATTTAAATTGTTTTTATCTCTAATAAAGTAACAACATATTACACTTCAGTTTTCGAAATAATATCAGTAAACATTTATTATTTAGGTTAAATAACTACAGCAGCCATTTAATTTAAAATTTTCAGCAAGTTAAGGTTTCGGTACTCGATTTATTTCTAGTATAAGAACACTGTAAACCTAAGTAAGAGTTGCTTAAATTATTAAATTTTATAAATAAACTATAACATTTCATTTTTTTATTAATTATTAAGCGTAATTATCTTAATATTAACACATATTTTGTTTATTTGACAAACACATAGAGTATAAGGCATTTTCGACACTTACACTATATGTCAGGATGGCCGAGCGGTCTAAGGCGCCAGACTCAAGGTTACCTTGTCCATGAAACTGGATTCGGGCGTTCTGGTCCTCTCTGAGGGCGTGGGTTCGAATCCCACTTCTGACAAATCTTTTTGCTTTTTAGTTTTTTTAACAATTTCTAAAAATTCATAATATAATGCGAAAGTAAAGTCTTATTATAAAAAGCATCTATTTATAATAAATTAATGTAATTAAATAAATTATTTAGCAAAATTTCCATTCGGTGTCGAGAACCTTGGTCCATGGGCTACTATAAAGCGTTTTAAGGAAATAGCAAAAAGGTTAGTCGATATCACAGGAGACCGAAGAGCTGGCAGCTACCTCGGAAAAAGAATTAGTCTAGCAATTTAAAGGGGGAACGCTGCCAGTATCTTCAGAACCTTGCCTAAAAGATTCCATTTAATAATATATTTTAGTTATTACATTATTTTTTTTTCTTTTTAAGGTTTTTAGTTATAGTATAATTGTTCTAGTATATATTTTGTATTAGTTTATCATACTATCAGTACTAACTACATCATCCACTTTCAAGAATCTACTTTTGTCTTTGTACCTTCAACAATGTCCTTAAAATTATTTAGCAAAGGTAACATTTTTTAATGTGTGTAAATAGTATTATTAGTGCGATTGTTAAAGAAATATTAATGTACCTAATATAAAATAAAAAAAACGGCAAGTTGATGAAAAATTACAAAAAAAGTTTCCCGTACCGGGAATCGAACCCGAGCCTCCTGGGTGAAAGCCAGGTATCCTAGCCACTAGACCATACGGGAGTTACGGAATAGGTCTAATTATTAAGTTATAACGTTATATAATAATTTAAAAACGCGTTTTGTATGAAATCATCTTTATTTTGGTAAATTGAAACTGTCTCAAGTTCAGTAAAAGAAATGTAAATCTTAGTCTAGTATATTAAATAAAATTATGGATACTATTTTTATTACTGAAAATTTAAATAAAGTAACAATAATGTTGAGTAATTAATTTTTTTATAAAATTAGGTAGACAGAATTTTACTATTGAAATGCAGAACAAAAATACTATCGAACAAATAGATGTTTTTTTTACCGGGAGCAAACATTATAAAAGCCAAATGATATCAAAACATAGCATAGGTGACGTGCCTATATAAGTTTTCACTTCACGTAGAACTGAATTCTTTTTTTTCAATACTGGCCAGCACTTGACTGCCATCCCACCTGATGGTAAGGTGATGCAGCCTTTGATGGTAAGCGCGCTAGCTCAGCAAAACTCTATTCGCACTTGTCTTGAAGAAAATTATTCAGTTTGGACGATTGAAAAATACTTAATATCTGCGTTTTCCTTTCATCAATCTAGTGTTGATTTGTTGGGAAATATTTCAATTTAAAAAAAAAACACGTAAATTTATCTAACACTCACATTAAAATTACACTTTCAATAAAACGAGAGTTGTAATCGAAGCATATCAGTAAATGACAGTATCATCGTCATAACCATTTCAGCCTGTCTGTATTTCAGACTTTTCATATTAAAAAAACTCGTCGTCACTCCATCTAGTGGGGATCGTCCTACACTACGAGGGCCAATACGAGATTGTCACTCGTGAACTTTTTTCCCCCACGTTTTCTCAGGTCTTTGTTAACAGTCGTGTAATTTGAAGACGTTTCGCAAGGCCTCCGTGGCGCAATCGGCTAGCGCGTTCGGCTGTTAACCGAAAGGTTGGTGGTTCGAGCCCACCCGGGGGCGATAACTTTTTTGCTCAGAATTTAGTTCTTTTTTTTCCAAATAAAGGCTTTATTATATTTTTTTAATTGATTTAAAACAACAGGAAATAAATTTCCCAAATTTAATTTTTTTTATCGTTCACAATTTATTTATAACAATTTATATTTAATATGTAAACTTAAGTCGTACTCGTAAATAATTTTATTTATCGAATGCAAAAATTTAATCAATTGAATTAGTTGATCCGGCAAACGTTGTTTTGTCATATAAATTATTTGTAGGATAGAAAAAATATAAATAAAAAAAAATATAAATCTATTCCCATACCTACTGAAAATAGACATAAAACTTCATCAAAATCGGTCATGTCGTTTCAGAGGAGTATGAACACAAAAACTGAATTTTACACGAGAAACACGAGATTTTATATATTAGATGGAATGCGCCGTTTTTATGTTTTAAAATTGATGTAATCGTACTTCGTTTCATTTCAGTAAGACAAGACAGTATTAGTAGATCTTATTTGGTAATTACATCAGCGGGGATATAGCTCAGTGGTAGAGCATTCGACTGCAGATCGAGAGGTCCCCGGTTCAAACCCGGGTGTCCCCTGACCCAAAATCTTTTTATGAATTTTTTATTTTTGATAACTTCTTAATAACCATTGTATATTATATTTTTCTAGTATTTTTATCATTTAAGGGGGTAATTATTTGTTCGAAGGGCACAAAAGTAGATTACTTGCATTGATTTAATAAAATCATGATTGAAAGCAGTGTAAAATCACAAATAGAGACTATATAAAATACATTTAATTCTTTTTGTAAAAAGATCATAATATTTTACGTGTACTAAGTGCATATCCAACAATCGTCTAAACATATTGAATATTTAATACATATAAATACAAAAGGGTCACAAATAATTTTGATTTTGCAGTAAAAAAAATTATTTCACTGTAATGTGTTGTCGACATTAAGAGTCCTAATTTTAATAACATATTAACATGTAAAGTTTATTGGCATTCCTTCCTGTACTTAACTAATAACCAAATGACCGAAAGTACAGCTCCGGTAATATATAGAATGGTTTACCGACATGGTTTATAAATGAATAAACGTGTACATCATTGATGTTGTTTCACATTTAAAGAGAAAGAATTATGAAAGAGTAATAAATAAGTCAATAAAGGGCCCATTACTAAAGTACAGGGCTAAGGTATAAATAAATGTTAAATATTATTAATACGAGAAGCTAAAACTTTGTACCCCTTTTTTACGAAATTTGCGCGAACGGAGGCGTATTAAATTTCCCACACTTATAGTTTTATGAGGGAGTGCAGACTGCTAATATTTTTTACTTATACATAAAAAATTAATTAAATAAAAAAAAGTAATGGTCGAATTTCCACCGCTGGGCGAGCACTAGCATTGATAAATATTACATCTAATTTTCTTTTGTGATTTTTCAAATTGTATGTAATCAGTTATATGGTAATGATAACGAAATTCGACTCTAAGTGATGTAGCAGTCGTGGCCGAGTGGTTAAGGCGTCTGACTCGAAATCAGATTCCCTCTGGGAGCGTAGGTTCGAATCCTACCGGCTGCGAATTCTTTTTGTTTTTTTATTTGTAGGAGAATAATTTGATTTCAAGCTTGCTTGTTAAACGCATTTTTTTCCTTTCTTCTCTTTTTTAAATATATGTCAAATACAAATACCAATATACGAGCTATATTATTCTCTTATTATGTATCAAAATGGTTTCTAATAATTTAAAGCATGATATGCATCACAAGCTGTTATTGATCTCTACTGCCTGCGCCTCGGTACGCCTTTAGTAATTCGGTTGTAAGACGAACGCTAGATGTCGCTACTTGTGTTATTTATTTATAATACCTCAGAAAATGTTAACATAAAATTTCAAGAAAATATACATAAAATTTTTGCTGTATGAAACTAAAATTACTTTATTAGGTATTTATAGTAGGCGTGTGAATACCGTTTATTAGGCCAGCTTTTGGTTCGTTTAATAGGAAATTACCGAGCATTTAATTCTCAATTAAAATAATTTTGAATAATATATAATATAACAATACATAATGTTTCTTTATATTTAGAAAGGACTAAAACAATTGAATAAAATTGAAAATTTTTGCAATATAAAGTTATTTATTAATGTCATATACTATCCGTATTTCGCTACACTTTTTCGATTGCACGTGTTATGAGATCTGTTACAAAAGAAAAGTGTTATGGTCTAACCACGACGGTCACCATGAAGCCAATCGTCTATTACCCAAGACGCGCCCCTTTCGCCTATCATGATAGCCGGGGCGTTTGTATTGCCCCTAACTACGACGGGCATAATCGAAGCGTCTATCACTCGTAATCCAGATATTCCGTACACCCTTAGTCTGGGGTCCACCACTGCGGTCCTATCCCATTTGGGGCCCATCTTACACGTCCCCACGGGGTGATACGTGGTGGACGTGTAATGTCTCGCCAAGCAGACAATGTAGTCGTCTGTTCCCCATTCCTGGCGCTCGCAGCCCGGCAAATTTATCCTAACGAAGCGCGCGCCCATATTTCTGAAGGCGTTCGTATCCTCCAGCGACAACAAATAGCGGATCCCCTTTATCAGCGGCACGAAGTCCTCCTCGTTGCCGAAATAGTTCGCGTATAGGAGCGGCGGCCCGTTCGGATCGGTCGCGTTGAGACATAGCCGTCCCCTGCTCTTCGGCACCAGGTTCATCGTCCTCGGCATCAGGCCGTCGTAGAAGCCGGTGGGGAATATCCTGGTACTGTCGTAGTCCGCGGGCTCTTTTATGTACTCCTCCCAGTTGACGCTGTCCACCTGGTACTGGATATCCGGCGCCGGCAAGTCCGGGCGGGTCTTGAAGAACGATATCGAGCTTACAGCCCCGTTTGCTGACAACGGGCCGTCTTTAATATCCTCGTGGTGGTATCTCTTCACTTCTTTCACAACTTCCTCGTTGTTCAATAACGTTGCGGTGTCGTTCGCGAGCGATATAACCATGCCGTTGAAAGTCACGTGGTCGTGCAGATTCTCGCCGACGGCCAAGTCCTGTACAACTTCTATGCCCAGTCTCTCCAACTGCTCTTTCGGACCGATGCCAGACAGCATGAGCAGTTTCGGCGAGTTTATCGTACCGCCGCTAACGATCACCTCCTTCTTCGCTAAGGCCGTGTATGTTAGTTTATCCCTCGTATACTTCACACCGTACGCCCTCTTGTGGCCGTTCACGAGTACTTTGAACGCTTCGGCGTTGGTCTTGATCGTTAAGTTCCTCCGCCTGTACCTTATGGGGCGGATGAAGGCGACGTTGGCAGAGACCCGTTCGCCGTCTAAGGAAAAGGCTTGCGACTGCATCGCCCCTTCTTGGCGCTGGGCGTTATAATCGTTCAGGGGAAGTCCCCTTTCGTTGAAGGCGTCCGTCATCATGATCGACGGTTTATCGACGTAGGGATATCGAGACACGTACTGCTCGCCCCTAACGCCGTGGTATTTTCTATCGAGACCCTCGGCGTTCATGTTTCTCTCGGACTTCTTGAAGTAAGGCAGTACCTGGCGAAGGTGGAACTTGAAATGATAGTAATTGGTTGCTCAAACCTTGATGGAGTGAGGCAACAGTGTTCGCCGATGCACAAATGGGCGGGTCCAGGGGTACCACGATCTCATAGAAGACCGGTGTGGAGTGGAGTATTACACTTCTGCGTTTCGTCCGGTGATTGAGGCAGTCGGGGCCCATTATTTAAAGGTGGCAACGCATCTGCAACCCTACTGTTGCTGCAAATGTCCATGGGCGGCGGTGATCGCTTAACATCGGGAATAGGAAAGAAAGGCAGGAGACGCAACTGATACTAGTTAAGTTTTGTATAAATAACCCTAAAAAGTTATTAACGCTATAGTTAATAGTATTTATTTGCGTTTCTTGATCATCGCCTTCACTAACCTCTTTTATAAGCGGCTAATGAGTAGCGGTATTCTCCACATAATTTTTTAACATTGAACGCGCCAAAATCCAAAAGAAATGAAGTTAGAAACGATTATCTATTTATTCCAATATCTTAACACAACGACGTAAAAAACCGAAAGTCTGGTGTACACAAAGAACGGAAGTATTAGCGTTTTATCTGCATTATCTCCAATATGTTTATGAAGTTATACTTCTTTTGGTGCTTTAGGGAAACATTTTGAGAGTAAATTTTCCCGAACGCCCGCACACCGTCACGAGATACCGACACCCTGAAGTTAGCTGGACATCTAGTTATGTTTGTGTGCGAACTGAAAACTGTATTCACGATATTTTGTGATATTTAAATAAACTTTATTTAACTTGATAATGCGTTATAATAAAACTTTCATTGTATTAAATAGGTACCTTTTTTCTAATTAGTAGTAGAATAAGGCGGAAGATGAAAATTTTGAAAAGAATTTCATCCTGTTACGCCAAAGAAGTATAACTTCTAACGCGTGTACAGTACGAAGACACTTTTTTTTTAAAACATGGCATTTACTAGAGACTGTACTTACGTCTTTGTAACTCCAACCGTCGTTGCCCATCGCTGCCCAGCCGTCGTAATCGGCTCTGTTCCCTCTTATATAAGCCAAAGAATTGATCGAACTGGAACCGCCCATTACCTTACCCCTAAAATAAGTTTGTTAGCCTTACTAATATTAAACCTTAAAATCTTAACCTTACTAATATTATAAAAGCGAAAGTTTGTATGTATCGATGGGTGTTTGTTACTCTTTCAAATACTACAGAATGGATTTTAAAGAAACTTTACAATAATATGGCTTATACATCAGAATAAAACATAGGCTATAATTTATATACATATTTTATGTATATCTGTCTTTCTGCCTGAATGTTACGCCTTCAGCCTATTCTACGCAGACGTGGTCGGGGGCAGCAGCTAGTTTAATAATACTTCTTGTATTCAATGTAATTTTAAGCACTAATCGAAACTATATTCACTGATTTTGCTACGTTTAATTAACGGTACCGCAGTCCGTTCTGTGACCATGCTTCAAAGTGTACTAAACGCTGTCTGTCCCTATGTATGCTTAGATCTTTAAAACTACGCAACGGATCTTGATGCGGTTTTTTTTACTAGATAGAGCGATTCAAGAGGAAGGTTTATATGTATAATACAATGTGCCCGTGCGAAACCGGGGCGGGTCACACTCAAAATTACGTTATATTGTAATGTGGTAGGGCCACACAGCAGCCTCGGCTGTTGCACGAACGGGCAGGCCCGTCCGGGTAAGTACCACGACCTCACAGAAGACCAGCGTAAAGTGGAAGTGTGACAAATACCTTCGCGTTTCGTCTAGTGAGTGAGTTAGCCGGAGCCCAATTTTCAAATGGTTGTCAACACATCTGTAACCCTCGGGTGTAGCAGATGGCCATGGGCGGTGGTATTCACTTAACATCGGGTGACCCGTCTGCTCGTTTGGCAACTTTTTGCATAAATATATATATATATATATATATATATATATATTACATTCTACTCACCTCGCCCAAGAGCACCTTCCACCGAAAGCTAAACAACTCTTTCCGTCGGGCTCCGTACTATAGCCCCAGTCGATATTCGAACCTAGGAGTGCTGTCGACAGACCTGGCACCAGAGTCACGTCCGGCGCCTCTGGGCCAGCCTCCAATAATAGGACCTGGTTGAATTTTATCATGTACAGCGTTGCGTCGTGGATTGTAAATAATAAATAATAATATTTATATACATTATATAAAACAAAGTCGCGATGTCTGTACGCTTAGATCTTTTAATTTACCCGGCGGATTTTAATGCGGTTTTCAGAAATAGATAGAGTGATTCAAGCGGAAGGTAGAGCGGAAGTACTATAGATGCATATAACATATATCAAAGCCGAGAAATTCAATATCTGCATTGCACCCGTGCGTATTTCAAGTTAGTAAATTAATATTTCAAGGCATATTTTTACACAACGTTGTCAAGTCCCAAACTAAGCAACGTTTGAACTATGGATATTAGGGAACTGGTAAACATAGTTAAATAAACTTGTCTTATAAATAAATACATATTATAGATACACCAAGTAAAAACAAGTGTAAACACCAAGACACTGGAAATGGACTATGTACATCACACAATATTTTTCAGTAGTGGGGATCGAACCCACACCCTCTGGCGCAGGGCAGTTCACTACCCATTACGCCAATCGGGTCGCCAAAATCTATGATCGGTTTACGATCTAAAAGCTCAGAAGTTCTAGAGAACAACTAGCAAAACAATCTACGTTAAAACACATGTTGAAATTGTTTCTAATATATTAAATACTATTAAAATTGACAGTAACCCGGGAAACTGCTTTAGCAGTTTATAGATTTTTTAAGTAATGAACATTGTTTACCTTCCATTTTTTGTTTTGCGACAACCTGTTAGCTACTACGCAGCCGGCCGAACCGGCCCCCACGACTATAAAGTCGTACTCCTCTTCCCTCTGCTTCCCATATTTGAAACTCTCTATTTGCCCCACGATCCTCTCCTGTTCATCATCCTCCGAGTCTTGGCGCAGCTTCTGCTGTATTCTCCTGTCCTCAGAGTCCCCGAACAGTTGGACCAGCAAATTCAAGTACACATAGCCGAAGTAGGAGCAGGCTGATAAGTGAGTGTGTGCCGGACACACCTCTGCTAAATTGAGCGGCCTCCAGACCATGTTGGACCTGAAAAAGAATAGCATAGAATAGAATAGAATACAATTCATTACACACAATGAAATAGAAAGAAAGTAAATACAAGAAACATAGTGTACATATAGGCAGCCTTATTGCTAAGGTTGTTCGAGTTGAATGAAAATTTGCCCTTACAGCATTGGATAGAATATAGTCCTTCAATTTCATATTAAGTAACATTCAGGTTAATTTATCATAGTCGAAATCGAAATTTTGATATAAATAACCTGTGTCAATATGAAATTTTCATATGATAATCACATTTGGTGAACCATCTTTATTGTACTGTAATTAATAATTTCGTTACATAAACCGCAATAGAAAAAGTGCGAGTTTCTTTTTCCAGACACTGATTTTAGTTAAATAAGATTACCGTTTTCTTAGCAGTTATTTCAACGTAACGCAATAGATCAACGAGGGAACAAAAATGTAAAAAGGATTTGACAAACTTCAATGATAAAACTACGTGACATAATAATGCACCACATAACTTAAAAAAAAACTTCTAATTCCTGTAACAAAATTAATTTCCAACACTACTGACACAAATCAAGACAACATAGGTAACATTTGGAATGGTAAAAAATTAACAACTTGAAACAATGACGAACATAACACGTCTAAAAAACATACGTACCGATTTTATGTTTGTTCGTTTTAATTGCTAACAAAGTATTATATACGTGAGCCACGTTGGATTAGGTCGATGTGGCTATTAGTGGGTGATGTTAAATAATCTTCGGCGTCCGTTCAACTCATCAGGCCGTTCGGAATTTTAATAGGGGAATCATTGCTGTTCGGACCGTTTTTGTACGTGAAACAAACGTACAAAATTACTGATATACAACCTGGTGACTGACGGACAGACAGACAGCGGAGTCTTAGTAATAGGGTCCCGTTATAAGCACGCCATCTAGCGTCAAACATATTCAACTTTATTATATTTTTTATTACTTTTTTCATCCACTCACTGGCAGCAAACCACAATCAGTCCAAGTATATAACGTTTTACCCTTTGGTTACGGAACTCTAAAAATGTCCAAAACATCGATGTTTTAAGTAGTAAGTAGTAATGTTAAATATGTAAATAAATAATGTGTTCAAAAATTTTAATACTGTCTGGAGAAAGATTATAATTGATAGATACACATATTTATTTATGCCTGTGATTTATGCTCTGAAGTTTTTACACACCTTTTTTTCAATCCAATACATTTTTTAAACAAAATTAATTAAGTAGACGTCACTGTTGGTTAGACGATAAATTAAAAAATGGCTTCAAGTTCATACTTTAGATTTCCAACAACAAAAATGATTGTTCATTGCCAAATCAATCAATTGTGTTGCTAGAGAATAGTTGTTAAAACGCTGTTCAGCACGCGAACCCACACATATTTACCAAATAAATCAAATTACAGTATCATTGCGTACATTAAGTATAGCAGAAAAACTAAATAACTCTATTATATCCGATGGATACGGTAAACGTGTACGAGAACTGTATACATTTTCTTATTAATATTTTTATGCTATGTTATCAGTGTCTTTTACAATCCAGAGTTTTAAGACTTCTTTAAACAATACATTTGAACAAATTAATTTGATTTACTGCTCGGCGTGTGACTTTAAAAATTCATAATTTCTCTAGTGAAAAACGTCCTTTCTTAACCTAGTATTTTTGGAGTGGAAGAAAAACAATTTATTACATAGAAATAACAAGAATGACTATTTAATATAATTAGATTATCGCAATCGCTTTTTCGTTACTTCGGGAATTTATATTTATAACTTATATTCATACCTTAATTATTACAATGCATATAATTAGAATAATGTAATAAATTGTTGCTTCACGTAAATCATGAGAATAAAATTAATGGCTGAACAATCGATGTTAAAAATCATTGTATTTTATGTGCACAAAATATAAATCAAAAAAGTTTTTTTATGTGTATAAATATTTGATGACCACTTTTTTCAATCAACAATATAAAAAATTAAGGTATGCGTGAATTTTTAGACTAAATGGCAATTAATTACGCACGCAGCTTTCAAAATACCAGGGCCACATAAAACCCGTGCAACGAATCGGCCTAAAGTGGAATTATTATACTTTAGGGTTTCGTCTGGTAAGTGTTAGCTGGGGCCAAGTGTTTAAAAGGTTTACAACCTATTTGTGTTCCCTCCGAGGCTGTAAGTGTCCATGGGTGTCGGTTATAACTACGTGAACCCCGTATTTCCTTACCAGCTTTTCTCATAAAAAAACCTTTAAACCTATAGTTGCCAGACCTTGAGACCTTGGTATGTTTGACGATATCATTCTCTTTTTCTTTACATAAATGCCACACTGATACATCTGATTTCTGCTGTTAGTAATGATATTACTTACGATTAGTATTTTATTAACATCTAATGTTGATTTGAGTAACTTCTTTACCCAATAGCTGTAAATAGTGCTGTAGTCCTTAGGATTGAATGTTAAGGTTTATTCGATAGTAATAATGATTTTGGTGCCATCTTTCGAAGAATGCGTGCAACTAATAGTAGCAAGTAACACGTCAAGAAACTCATATATGTAATACTAGCTTTTCGCCATATATTTTAAAGTTTTTTCCAATGAAATAATAGCCTGTCCTTTCTCAGGCTTTAGACTATCTCTGTACCAAAATTCATTTTAATCGGTTAAGTAGTTTTGGCGTGAAAGCGAGACAGACAGAGAAAGTTACTTTCGCATTTATAATATTAAAATAGTATGAATTTACTTTTTGTCCTTTCCAATAGATGGCATTGGCGTCTGTAATGTTTTTTATGTAGAAGTTGGCGTGTGAACAGGCAGTTCACTTCATGTAGAAGTGAATGTAGTATACTTTTTAAATTCGTATGATGAATTAAATAACCGGACCAACTTTTTATAGGACAGCAACTATGATGTACATGTTCTCAATAAATAAGTGCATAATCTATGGTACGTTTCCATAAAAAAAATGAAAGAACGAAATAAATACGTTAGTAGTGCGTACTGCGTAGCAGACAGTAGTTACAACTTGAAAATTAAAGAACTCTCGTTTTACTGAGAATAAGGTGTTATTTTTTAAATAGAATCAAAACTTTACATCAATGGTAAGTTATGTAAACATTTTACTCATATTTGCTAAAAGACTAGCGCGGTTGAAAAAATCTTAGGGGCCACTAGTTCCTGTCGCCCAAAATAAAAATAAAATAATGTTTGATTTTTTTTAGCTTTGATTATTATCTAACTTGAAATTAATAACGGTTCTGATATTTTAAATCGACGTTTTGTTTTTAAGGGTAGCTTTAGAATTTCAAAGTAGAGTACCTTTGGTGTCTTAGAGCGTGCCTTAGATATAATTAGTATTGAACTTTGAATTCATTTTATTAAAGGTTACATGACAGAAATATGAAATACTTAAAAATTCCACGAAACAATTATATTGTATATTATACAATAATTATATAAATGATAAAAAGTCATAATATCAAAATAAACAATATAACAAAAAATACTTGGCTTTTGGGTATCTTCTAGATCCCTCAATCAATTGAAAAGTAATGGTCCGACATGTAAATCATTTATGAATTAATAAAATTGAAAAGAAAAGTCATGGGGTTTCAATTATCATGTTTATTAACTACTTATTACAATATCCATGCTCATTAGAATACAACATTAATAAACCGCTACACTGTTTCTCACCGTACAATATACGTATAGTACAATAAAATCGCAATTGACGAAATGCGACGGTACAATTACGCAAATCATTCCATTCTGAATACAGATTTTACCATACAATACTAAAAACGCTATCCCCCGTCAACATTAAAAATAACTGCTGCAATAATTATTTTTACAAGTTTCTCGGGACGCAACAAAATGTGATTTAGTAGGCGTTGAACGCCGAAGGCGAAAGTGGCTTATGGCCTACTACACACAAGACCGCGTGGTCAAATTTTCTCAATATCCGCATAATTCTCTTTCGAAGAATTCACTTCTCGGGCAGCTTGACTACCGGCACTTGGGAGTGGCCCCAGATGTTGTTACAGTACTGGATGAGGTCTCTCTCGGCCTCCGAAAGGACGGAGAGGTCAATGTCCTGGCTGTCGCTAAACGGGTCCGTGTAAGGGTAGTGGACGAGGATGCAGCTGAAGTCCGCCGACCTGTGCGAGCAGCCGAGCAGCTTCTTCAACTTCAATTCTGAGTCCACCTGAATGATAAAAATGCATACCATTATAAATTGCGCTAGTCTAGAATACTTTCGTTCTTTCGTTAATTTCAAGATCAGTTATTTTTAAAACTATTGATGGAAACTATATGCAACAGATAACTTGAAACAAGATATACTTAAATCATTAAAAAGGCCAAAAAGTACTAATGTCAATCCTCACCTTGATGTTATAAATCTCATTCTCAACGCAGAAAGCTTGCAGCAAGACTTCCTGCATATGAGTAGCGCTGTCGCCAGGTGGCGCTTCGGTTGTCACGCAGAATAGCGCCCCGTTACAGTTGTTAGACAAGTATTGGATGGCTGGCAGGAGTCCGACTGTGAGCCGCTTCTCCACGCAAGCTCTCCGCAATACCGTCTTGATGCAATGGCTGATTGGGCTGTGGACAAACGGAAAAGGAAACGTTAACAATTTGTATCAAAAAGGTCTCCCCGGCGGGTATGCTTACAACTATACTACCGAGGATGATGTAGTAACGTCAAAAATTTAAACCCACTATCGTAAATTCCAACAAGTTGAGTGATGATACGTTCACATCAGTTGATATTGCAATTGATGTAATAATTTTCCTTATTACTATTCGAATTAAAAGATCTGACAATTAAGTTATGTAAAATTTCATAACCTTCGAGAAGACAATATTGTGAAATGTTACCCAATAAATTTACATAATTATAAATAAACAGAAATAGAAAAATATAAACTGACTTCTTTTGGGGGAGGCTTATGTTCAGCAGTGTACTCAAACAGGCTGAAATGGTGATGATGAAACTGATTTCACTAGCTTACCTTTTAGCAGCCATTCCACTGAAGGACTCCACTTTTACGGGAACCACTGATTCGTCGTACATTTTCCTATTTAAATGTATACTCTTCAAGTTATAATCCTCACTAATTTTTGGCACACTCCAACTGTTGTGTGGAATTGTCACGAGCACTTCACTAATTGAACAATCACTTATGGTCACTTATCAGCTGTTGAAGTATCGAAAACTATGTCATAATATTTTCACAGCTCGGCGGGCAAGAGCGACGTACTACCACTTGCAGAGTTCAGTGAAAAGTGAGGACATGTGACGCAGTCGACGCTTTTATACCGCGTGATACGTACGCGCCAATTTATCAATGTGTGCGTGGCGCTCGCCAGTATCAACGGAGATTCCTCGAAACATTCACGCGTGTTGTGCTTGTGAATTACGTGCGATCGATATACTCCTATGTGTGCGTGAAGCATTTCTCCGCAGTTGGATTCAATTTCGTTCGCTGCAGCCTAGTAAGTCGTCTGATTATCGAAGACCTTCCGTTCCCTGGTAATCGTTATCAATGAGTGTGTCAGAGTGTGTTGGTATATTTGTCTGAAACTCGTTTGTGAAGGTTATCTCGGCGGCGCGGTGGTAGTGTGTGTCTGTGTGCGTTCTTTTCCGTTTACGCTTGGAATTCCCGCGCGCTTGGGTTTATTTGATAGGGAAACAGTTGCACGTTGTTTCCAAATTGGGTCGTCCGCTCGGATAATCGTAATAGCTTTGATTCCGTTGTGTTTGTCGTTGATACAAAAAACGTTAACAAGTTACATCTCACGGCCGGTCCAAAGACTTAGTTAATTAATTTGCCAAGTTAAATCTAAAAGATGTATTGTTAAAACTTGAATCTAATTTGCGCTAATCGACGTCTTTGAATGTGGTGTCGATTAAAACGAGTTCAAAATTCGTGTTATAACGAAAGTAACGGGATGTCAGACTCGTCGATACATGTCAAGATCTGCCGCCGCTCTGTCGGCATCTTTCAACATTTTCAATAAATATTGGTTAAGTTTATGCGTAAACGTGTTAAGTGTTGTAAGTGGGTTGTGATTAGTCCCGGAAAGATCTAACAGACTGGCACATAATCCTAGTAAATATGGTGATGGGTTAAAAGCTCTCGTACTGAAAGCTTTAAACAGTAGAAAGTTTCTATAAAATTCATTAACACGAGTACTTTTTTGGGAATTTCACAATAGGCAGTTCACACGTTGTGTAATAAATCAGTGAACTGGTGGGACAATGATCTTTAATCGCGCACTTATCTGCTTGGGGAAATCTGTTGCAATTTCCCCCTTTAGTTCGAGTTTATCAACAAACATTGCCAGTAGTTAAACCTTTTCTGTGATTCTCAAATTATTATTGTTTTAAGCAGTAAAGCACCTTTTTTTTTGTTTTCGGGGGGAAATCGTCAGGGGATGCCCCACATAGCCCAGTCACAAGACAGGGTTTTGTTGGGTTCGTACCCACTAAAACCCCCTCGGTCGCCACCTTCTGTACCTAAACGATTTGCAGGGACTCCGGGACCTCCTACAGAACGCACCGGTGTCCCTCGGTACTGCGCTTGTGCATGCCTCGGAGAAGAATGAACCTTCAACGATTCCCTCACCATCTTCCATAGACAAGCAAGATTACTTCGCACTGCTGCTAGTCTAAGAACCCAACGTCCAACCTAAGTCGCCTTCTACTACAGGCAGGGGATACCTTAGTCCTATTCTATGAGCTCGGGTTTACAGGGCTGAAGCAGTTAAGCTCCTACTACTCCTCTTTGCTCTGCTTTTCTTTGACATATGTTTTGTTCTCAGCCCGTAGACTATTAAAGTTATATCAAACGCAAGGTGAGGTAGCCAGATTCCGTAAGGCCCTCAGCGTCTGTTAGGACCGAGCATGTGCTCATGTGTGTAGTATCCAATGGGAAGGAACCCGAGCTCGATAGTAGTTGACTGTATTTATTATTGCCTACGAGCGGTGAGAACCGTTGTGAAAGAAGGCGAGTGAGCTGGTGGTTCGTCTGATATTTAGTGATATTCGCTGACAATGGACATATTAAACACCCGTACGGTTGCAGATGCGTTGCCTTTTAATAAAGTGGGCCTTTTTAATTCACTCACTAGTTTAAAAGCAGTATAAAATTTCCACTTCATGCCGGTCCTTTGTGAGGTCGTGGTAATTCCCCGCAAAAGCCTTCCACGTTCGTGCAACACCACATACTGCTGCGTGAACCTGCCAACTTTCAAAGTTTACCGCAGACTAAAAAACCCACAACGTTGTGTTTATACCCTAGTTAACGTTCACGCTTCTACATCAAATGACCCCATTTCCATGGTCAAACAGAAAAATTGGTCTCTTTATCTGGACTGCCCCGTTCTTCATTTACAAGTAAAACTATCAGAGCGCCGTCAATTGGATGGTTCTAATTTGCTTTAACAACGTACTAGTTTTGGTTCGGTAATTGTCTCTAAATGGATTCTATAAAACAACGCAATAGTTATCAGAAATAAATAATATTTGCTAATGAGTCGTCTTAGTTAATATATTAAAATAATGATCTATAAGGTGACAGCTACTGAGGAATTGAAATTACACCTTTAAATAAAAGTACATGGAGGACCGAGCTTTGCTCGGTTTTTTTTAAATCATTTTGGTAAATCATGTATTTGGAAATAAAAAAAAAAGGAAAGATCTGGTATAAAATAAAAAGTAAAAAAAATAAGTGTGTAAATGATCGTGCTACGAACCGCGGCCGTCTGTTTTGGGGCCGCCCGATTACCGACCGAGCTATTATAACATTTTTTTGCGGCGAAATTTACAGTCATATTAGAATTATATTTTTCATTTCCTGAAAACAGGGATAAAAGGACATTTTCTAAAAAATGAAAACCTAGCTAGATCGAGTTTTCGCCCCCGAATCTACGCACGGACTAAATTTCATGAAAATCGCTGGAGCCGTTTCCGAGATTTCGATTATATTTATTTATTTATCTGTAAAATATATAAGAACCAATCAAAGCTTTTTCTAGATTTTTTGCATCAACATTGGGAGACGAGTTGCGTTTGAGAATGCCAACGTTAATACGAAATAATTAAAGTATTATCTTAAATTCGTAATGAAACTATGTAAAAGTATTCTATGCAATTTACCTCAAACAACACACGAAAACAAGGCATTCCTCGAACACGATCAAGTTTATCAGGTCAAGGCTCGACACACATGTGACCTTCAAGCGGGACATTAAAACAAAATCAATAAACTACAGCGAATACTAGAGTTCTATAGTTTCATTACAATAAGTATCAAGTCATTTCGTAAAGAGCCGTGATAGCTCAGTGTCCGGGCGCTCGCCTTTAATTCAATATACTCGAGCAACCCGAGTTCGATGACCGGTGCCGGCACCAATGAAGTTTTTAACTTTAAGTGCTGAGTTATCACGTGCTACGCGGTGAAGGAAAACATCGTGAGGAAACCTGCATATTTTCGAAATAATAACAAAAAAATATATATATTTCGAAGATATGTGAAGTCCGCCAATCCGCAGTGGGGCTGCGTAGTGGACTATGCCCTGATATCCTCTATATAGAGGAGGCCTAGTGGCCCAGCAGTGGGACTTGTATAGGCTGTTACTTTACTTTACTTTACATTTCGTAAAAGAAAGTTAGTAAGCTTACCCAGGGTTGACGCTGCGCATGAATAAAACCTTGCTTGCTTTACTGATCATATTTTTATATGTACTATTTGGTCCCAAATATGATCCTCTTATACAGGAGACACACTGACATGTACAAGAATATGACTTCACGTTTATTTATTTAAAAGAATACGTTACACAAAGACTAACTTTTAAACAAAAAGGCTTTCGCTAAGCCATGTGAATTTTCAATATTTGTACCAAGCGGCCGACACTACAAAATGACTAATTAAATTTCGTTTTTCTAGATGGTTTTATCTTCCTCTAATATTTTCTTGTCAAGCCACTCCTGCGGAAAATTTGTTACTAATAATGGATGTAAGTATTTTTTTAATTAAGCACCTTTAAAGGAAAAAAGGAACCCTTATAAGATCACTCTCTTGTCCGTCTGTCTGTCCGTTAAGTTAAAAAAAATGATATTAGCTCATTTTTTTTAACTTAACATTAGACCCAACGAGGCTGAATGCTGTAAATGCAGCGACCACTGATGAATGAAAAAACGTAAACCATAATCATAATTTTTATTGAAAGGAATTTGATTTTTTTTAATGGTGACACCACATTTCGTCAATAGCTAACTTCTTAACAAAAAAATGTAATGACAATTACTTAATAACCATAGGGAAAATTTACTAAACAGTTTTGTCTCTTACTTATAGTTCAATACAATTTTGAAGCGATTGTAACGAAATTATTAATTTAACGTAAGCGAAATGGCTTATTTTTAGAAGTTTTTAAAAAGTTAGGTCTATTTTTAGAAGTTTGTAATTAGTTACATTACAAATACTTTCGTGAGGAGAAAAGGTTATGAAATACAGAAAAACTCTGAATAGTACGTTATCACTGTTTCGATACGCAATAACCCCGATATTTATGTTGCATAATGCTGAGTCAGCTAAATTTGGTTTCTTATTATTGCGTTTGACAACCAGATTAATCGCCCGAATGGATTAATAGTAACGAAAAATAAGCTAACGATTTGAAGATTATCTCAAACCAATGTTGCTTTTTACAGATAAAAAGTGAATACATTCTATAAATTTCATAGTTTTTAAGATACTTCATCGTTGTACATTTTCGCTGTCATTCTTGATAAAACATGTGATAAATATACTGGTTCTCAGTACGTCAATGATAGATATCGTCTCGGGCGTTGCATGTGTTCTGTATTTCCCAATTTGTTACTTACATCATACTAGTGACCCGCCCCGGCTTTCCACGGGTGCAATATATTATACATATAAACCTTCCTCTTGAATCACTCTATCTAGTAAAAAAAACCATCAAGATCCGTTGCGTACTTTTAAAGATCTAAGCCTACATAGGGAGAGACAGACAGCAGGACTACTATATTTTATACTATGTAGT